ATAATGTCAAACCAGACTTCGCTGACCGTCTTTGCGACGTCAAGCCGGACGTAGCCATCGCGTTTTACCTCAAGCTCGCGACTATACCTGGCCTAGAAACTACAATGGCACCCCCGAGCAACGAAGTGTATGCCCCCGCCTCATATGGGCTACAAATCATACAAGACATGGAGAACGGATGGAGCAGCGAAGATGAGACGGATGATAAGAAGGCCAAGGAACAGAAAGGCGGAGAGAGCAAGGACGTAAGTCGCAAGACTTAGTCCTTGCATCTTGTGGTAGGGCTGACAAATGACAAGATCAAGGACGAAACCGATGAGGACTTCTTGTTCCTCGCAGTTTTGAGCAGCCTGAGGAAACGAGGCGCGTCCAGTTCAGCACTGAGTAGCCTGGCAAAGCGCTACAAGGAGGCATGAACACGCCAACGCTCTTGGTATGGAGCTTGTGTCAACCCTCGTGAGAATTTTCTCTGCCAAGTCAGCGATGGATAGTCCGGGAGTCATCTCATCAGAGTGCCCAGCTGATTCAGTGTAAGCATTCGAGCATGGGAAGCATGTGGCGGATCGATGGGGAAGGTCGTGTCGTCCAATCAGCGAAGCTGCAGCCATCTGAACTGCAAAAAACGCGACAAATGGTTGTACATGCGATAAAAATGCGCGCATTTGTGTCGCCAATATACCTTTTTCAAACGTGTAGAAGATCTGTTGTGCAATTAAGCTTCCGCGCTGAATCAGTCATATGCAGCCCATGAGCTACTCATGTGCCCACACCGCGTATCGCCGACAGAGTCCCATAAAGTGGGTACAAGATAGCCCTCCTATTGACCAGCTCAGGCTGAAATGAGCAGTGCGCTGAGTGAGGTCTGCTGCGCGATCGACGTGTGTACGCGGAGGACACAAGGGCGGCATGCGCAAGACTGGACCTCGGCTCTGGGCGGACATCGGAAACACGACATGCCGCCCACCCAACAACACCTCGGACCTTCTCGCAAGCGCATTCACGCCTGGAAGTCGGGCTATGCATTGATCGCCCGCCCTTGCATCAGTATGGCCACAACGAGGCGCCGGCACCAGAGACGACTACCTAGGTACCTACGAACTCCATCGAGACGCGCTCCAACATGCATCGTCCGTCTACTCATCATCGGCCACTATCGGTGGCTACGACCCTCAAAGCTGCCACTGTGTCAAGCCAGGTCCCCATCATGCGCACCTCGCCCTTCGCAATCAAACAAGAGTAGACGTTGCGCTCTTCTGCTAGTCTCATCTCAACGAGGAAGATGATGGGCCATCGGCTCAGACTGTGGCCTCGCACCTGCATTCGCAAGATGCATGCCATCCTCAGCTGCGCCGTTGGTACCTAGGTAGGATGAGTCTCCGGGTAAGATCATCAAGTCGGTCTCTTAACAACTCTGCAAGGAAATGTAGGTCAGCCACGAAGCCTTTCATTAGTCAACTCTGTACAAGTGCGCATGGGCAAATGAGGGTCAGATTAACACAAGCATCATGTGTCCTCACCGCCATGGAGCCCTGCCCGCAGGTGTGCCATTGTGATTATTACGACGTCTTCTTTGATGTACAACTCCCAACCGTCAGATCACTCCAACCACAAATATACTCTAGTCTTGCACAGAAACCCCGCCCAGCAACGCCCTTACGCCAACATATCCGGCTCCTCTTCCAGACCCCCCATGATTTCGCATCTCGATAGGTCGCACGTTGCCGAATCTGCTCTCGTCGCGTCACTCATAGGGCTGTAGGGTCTGCACGAAGTCTCGCTCTGGCTCGTTCTGCTCTTGCGCGGTCAATTGCGGCGAGCTCAAACTGAATGCTTTTCAACCACTCGATGATCGCTCTGTGAAGGTCAGCTAGGCAGGTTGCGAACACGCGGCGGATATACTCACTCGAGCTAAATGGTTTTGATCACGTGGTCGCCATCACTCATATCGTCGATACTACCGTCACGTTCTCTGCCTGGGTCGGTACCTTCTTGGACCTCTTCGACGTAGCTGCCCCCGCCTTCTCTGCCCTCCATCCGCCGCGACTCTCGTGGTGAGCTCTTTGAATCGACGCTCCAGATGCCGCAAACACTGGTTCCAGCGCCTTTCCATCGCTTGCGGAGCATGGAAGAGATGGAGGAACCGGTCGTTCACGAACCGACGAACTCCTGCGCAACTAACAATCTCATCGCGAACGGTCGCTTGGGTTTGGGCCTTGTCGACTTCGATTTCTGAGTCTCGGAAGTGCTGCACTTTGGTGGGCGAGGGGACTGCGACGCGTCGCGCGGGAGTGGTGAGAGTGGTGGTAAGTCGGAGTAGTGCGATATGTTGGCCAGTACGAGTTGGCAAAAGATCGCTACGACACACACTTCCCCGCGCTCACCGTCCCTTCCACCTTCACTACTACCTGTGAGATTGGGGCGGCGGAAATCAGCGCCTCATTGACAGCGGCCTGAATCGCTCCGTGTCGCTGGTTAGGAACGAAAAGTTTAAAATTAGTCTCGCCATCCAAGATCGAATACCAGAAGCTTCCCTGGCACCTGCGATCGGGTCAGCCCAGACAAACGTGTCTCCATCACGCTGTATGTCGACTTGGAGGTCTGTATCAACTCTGAAGCAGTTGCGGCATTAGCCGTACAACTGTTCGGAGATGTCCCGCGGTCTGTGACGTTCACGCAAGCCTGCAGGTAGATGGAATATCGGAAAGTTCATGTCTCCCATCCCACGACGCCCGTATCTCACCTCCTTCGTCATTCAAATGCCCACGTGCATCACGATTGAGCTCCACCAAATTTCTCAGCGGAATACTATCTCAGCGCGAATTTAATCACACCCGCTTCGAACCCCAGGAAGTGAGACCTATTGGAGCCAACACGATCAGCCGCCGGCGTTTAGCGCTTGGTGCGTACTCATGGTGAAAGTGATTGCGGAAGCGACCAACAACCGAGGTCTTTCACACCCGGAAATCTGTTCCTTTTTTCCAAGCGCTGCTATCCTAATTTCACGGAAAGCCATTTCCCCTGTCACCGATATACAGCTCAGAAGACATCGCGAGACGTCAGCATGGAATGCACCGAATCCGCGAGGCGCTTCATCATTACCCTGCAGATCAAGATACATCTCCTCACCCCCAAGTGCCATCCGAGAACTCCCCGAAAGATGAGATGTCGGTGGTACAAGAAGACGCGCCACCCCAAGCGCCGTCTGAAGAAGCTCGGCACTCTTATTGAGGGAGACGAGGAGGATAGCACTGGCTGTGAGAGTATTTTCATCAAGAGGAAAGGCCATGACCACGAGGAAGATGGTATTGATACCTCGTAAGTATGTACACCGCTGCCTCTACTCTATTTCCTTAGCCTTCGCAGGCCGTTAACTACTTAGGTCGACACGATCGTATACGTTATGGCCACCTTGACACCGCAATGGTTGTCCATTATTGACGAGAACGCTACAACAGCTAGACAATACTGCGATAAGTTGAGCACTCAGCGCACATATTGGACTCTAATCTACTGTCTCGGTGTCTGCGTTTTGTCGGCAGCAAGAAAGCCCACGCAAGATACCAGCTTCGGACTGTAGAGCATGCGTCGTTACATTTCCACAATGAGAGCTCATGATTTCTTCTGGACTCTTTATATGGAATCTCCAGCGGATATAGTGTCCTGAATTCCAGCATACAATTGAGGCTGCGCCGTTGGTGCGAAGTCGTTCGAGATGTTTACCCCCATCATTCCTTGCAATACCCCCAATTCAGATCAACGGGCTTTTGACTTGCGATGGAGAGTGAGGGCGTAGGCAAGATGGGTATGTTTACGCGATCTTTCTTCGAGTCCTTTAGATTCTGACGGTCTAAGAAAGCCTGCGTGACAATGGCGCGGACATTCGGTTGTCTGAAGGCGGCATATGGATCCGTGTGGACCGCGACAGATCTATGGGGTAGTGTAAGCCGTGGAAAGAAAGGAACTCGGGTTATTGCTGGGAACCCTTGAAAGAACTTACGGCGAGAGGTCGTTGACTATGTCGTAATCAAGGTTGTCATGTCGCTGGTACGACGTATTCGGACATTCTTAGGGTCCTCGGTACGCTGGTTCTTCGACGTGACCTCAGCTGCTTCCTGCATTGGTTCTCGGATCCGCGTATAGCTTCCTGATCTAAGGAAAAGAGCCTTGGTGGGTGCTGCTGTAACGGTAGCTAACGTCGGAGATCGCTGGCTCAAAGTTTCAAGGTTAATGGCAAGCGTGGAGAGAGAATTGAGATCAAGTCTGATAGATCATGTAAGCGAGTAAACAGCATATACGTGCCGCGGGCCTAAGCACTCTTGGCCAAGACTGAATCTGGCAACCTTAATTCCCTGAGCTTTGATCACTCCGATATCTCTAGGCTTGACAAAGTCAATGCTTTCTACCTGAGCAGCTTCTTGCTCTTGGGTTCGCACTGTCTTATACTCCTCCACCCCAAGAGCATCATGCTCCCACGCTTTGAGCTTGCATACCCCTTCCTCCTCTTCATTGGTATCGAGTATGGTTTGAGGGTGGAGAACGAAGCGAGGTCTCCGCGATTGTCTTCTTTCGTCATCTCTGTCTCGAGTCTTTCTTGGTCCCACAATAATCTGGAGCTGAACACGCAAACGGCAAACGCAGGTTTGGTAGTCCACCTGGGAACCGACATGGTCTGGAATGGTGAACAGCAACGCCTCCTTGATGATATATCTTCCTGTGGTCTCCGGCAGTCTTAGTCGAATGTGGTCTCAAAAAGCCAGTCTGGACTCTCAGTATCGTGTCCACCACGTTGAATCGATCGACACGGGGGCCTTTGGTTTTGAGGCAGGCCGCGTTGGACATGTGCGGTTGCGGGAGAGTAGAAGACACGCGAGAACCTTGGCCTGGATCCACATTAGAGCTGTGGCTCCTAAGCGTTGTGGTGGATCGTCTGCGCGATCTAAATCGAGTCTGTGAGGGAGTTCATTAGCCAGGCCAATGACGCAGTGAGTCGGCAGCTGTAATTACCCGCCATTCACCGTATTGCTATCACTCTCCTCGTACACAGCTTTTGCTAGGATGTTCGTTGCAACGCGGTCCTTGAAGTCCGTCTCGTCGCCTGTGGAAACGATGGTCTCGGCTTCGTCACAGATATCAGCGCGGTAGCTGGAGGCTTCCTCTTCGAGCTTCCATTCGATCTCGTCGTAGTAAAAGGCTGGCTCGTTCCAGGAGTCGGTATCGCTACAGATTGGAGCCTCGGCACTCAACTCAACTCGGGCGGAGGGGTCAGCCTTATCCCCGGATCCGGTTCGACTGGGAGGATCGATCTCTTCGACCTCGACAATAGCCATGGGGCCCATTGCCCACGTCGATAGGTCTTTGGAATGGTCGTATTGCACCGCATCCTTTTGAACGAGGTGTCTGAGGGTCAACGCAAATTCCTGCTCTGGGGTTGCGCGTTGCACCGTCGCGGGCTCGTTCTCTGGATTCATCAAAGTGGCCTCGCTTCCGGAACTCATCGCGGCGGTCTCGTCGGTCGTTATTCGCAGGATTATGGGCTTGCAGGCGTTGGTGTACGGTAGAATGAGGATGAGCAAACAACTGGTTGCGAGAAGAGGGAGACTTGTTGTACGCCAAGACGCGCTTCCTCAGTCACCTCTGGTCCCATGTTCACGCTCACCACGGTGGAGCTGCAAACGCCGAGGGCGGACCCTGGCGACTTCTTTCTCATGGCCACCGCGGGGCAGAGAACGAGAGCAGGTCGTCCTCGGCTAGCATGTCGGATAACGGAAGTCTCGGTAGTATATGAGAGATATCCGGATCGATTGGAAGTGTGGCGAAGGCCTACGGCCTGAGAGGTAGATGAAGACGATCAGTGGGAAGGCTTTGGATCGAATGGTCAGTTCTCTGAGTCGACGGCATTGTAAGTCTCGAGGCGTGGTACATGGCTTGGTTCAGCGATAAATGCTGTCCGGAATAGCGTCGCAAGCACAACTACTCGGTAGGTGCCTGGAGCGTACATCATCCGATACCCAGGTATGGAGGTCGTGAAGGACTACTGAATGCATGACGTGTACTGCGCGGCGTTATCACAAAGACTTCTTGCTGGTATGTCGTGTGTGTTCTGTAGCTGGTCCTTGTCTTCAGTACTTGCGCATCGTTGACCGAGAGCAGCCCGACGCCCGTTTAGAAATCCAGCTCGTTTCATGGACAGTCGTTTGTACCGGCCCTGCTCTTCCAGTCATTCACTTTGCATTCTCCACCGACCTCACGCGTCTCACCACTGTTCTCATCAGTCTCGTCGGTATGGCGCTCGTCACTGGTCTCGGTGATCATACCAAGCACAGGCACTCGACGATCGGCCTTCTTCATCTACTCCCTCTGCACACACATGTCGCCAGACGCTTTGGTGTGCGCTCTTGCTAGGAGTGGAATCAAGTTCTATGGCGTGAGAGTGAGTTGACTAGACTGCGTGTTGAAGCACCGATCTTTGCGCGTGTTACGCTTAGCAGACGTCTCTGTGGAGTCGTTGCGGGGCGAAGACGATGGTCGCAGCAATCAAGGAAAAGGTAGTGTGGACAGACGAGGCGGAAGGAAGGACGATGAGCCCCAAATCGCTCCCACCTTCACCTTCATCGCTGCTATCAAGCGCCGAGTAGCAGATCATGAAGGCCCGCTAATGTATGATCAATTCCAGATGTGTACATGGTTAACAATGTCCAAATGGGGCAGCGCCAGTAAGCCGTGTTCAGGAGTTTCTAAGCTCTTTCGATAGAGTCGTGAGCAGACAGGGTTGAATACGCGTAGCGAATGAACGTTGTCCGCACCGAGACAATCGCAAAGCTCCCCTCACAGGGATTGTTCTCCAATGTGTAGGAGACCACTTCCCTCAGCGCGAGTCCGATGCCGAGTCCAACGAGCCGCTCACAATTACCCCAATCCATGACCCTACCCTGCACAAAGATACTTTTTAAATCAGAGAGATTGGAAACGTCAGGTTTGAAATGAGTCAGCTGTTGACTAGTCTTCGCGTTTAGTCTTTGCAGAAATCCCAGTTGAGCCAGACGGGTGGTTCAGCCTCGAAACGTGGCTGCGCTACCAGCAGTGACGACACCGCGGGTGTAAGTACGGAAGGGATCTTTGTATCCCGAGGAGCATTGCGAGGGTAGACGTAGTACGTGCTAGCAGCCTGGAACGTGGTATGCGCGGGAGACTCCTTCATCGCAAGTGACATGGCAGGCGCCCGGGAAGTGCGCGCCGCGGTAAGCAATCGGGTCGCCAGAGCCCTAGTACGTGTGATGAAACCCTTCAATGGGGCTGCGTTCAGTCTGCGAGTAGGTGTAAGTCAAAGTAGAAGGTGCTGTCGCAATAGTCAGACTCACGAGTGGCTTGCTGCGACTTTGATAATCTAATCCGCCTGATCTCTCTCTTCTACGCCGAAGATCGCTGTTTCGCGACCGCGACAGTTGGTATTGATCTCGGCTCTCGCGATATGACTGGTGTTGATTTTCTTAGGGGGCTCGACGACCTGCAAGACCTCTCCCTCGACGACAACGCCTAGCTCATGTACCGAAGCCTTGAATCCGTCAACTTTCATCCTCCATGCTTCCATGTTGCTTTTGGTCTTTCGATGTGCCGTATGTGAAGCGTGAGCGGAACACAGAGTCCTCAGCCTTCATTTCCAGCGTCGTGGTGCCGACCAACTGGCAAGGTGTCCGCACTGCAAGCGATGAGTAGTACTAGTCGCAAAGACATGCTCTACCTCACCAGCTCCACTTCCCTTGCCGCAGCCTGGCTGCTCATCAAGGAACGAGGGGCTTTTCGCATATGCTTGACCAAATTGTACTGCGATTCCATCGTTTTGTTGTGTATGCTCCACGTTGTACGGGTGGTATCGCACGATACACCATAGCGTTATCATGTTCGTCGGCGCATGAAGGTTGAAGTCGGTGAAGAAGTTTGCATGATCAGGGCAGGGTAACTGAATGTGGCGAGGACGCGGAGATGGACGGGGAAGGCGCTCAGGTCTGAATGTTCGAGGTGAAGGCGGATGCTGTGAAGAGTGTTAGCTAGACTCTGGACGATTGCAACGGACGCGAAACTCAAGCTTGATGCGCGAGAAACGCCCCGCCTGCGTTGCTGCCCGCCGAACGTCCAATCTTGGCAGCGGAAGCCTTGCGACTTAGGTCGCCCACACACCCGCGGGTACCGCAAGCTTGAAAGGTACGCGGTTGTTGCCAGCCCGTAAACGCATCCTGCCCTCATGTTCTTGAAAGTGCGCCCTGCCGCGGGAGGTCCCGCTATCACCTCGCGGTTCCTGATACCCAGTATATGCCGGAGAAAGTATGGTGAACAAGGACGGACGTTGGAGGCGAAATAGACACCCATGTGTTGGAGGACACGCGCAGAATATCATCGACTTCGGACGCGTGGTCGGCGGGCAAGGCGCGGGTCGGGCCTTTAATAGGAAGAATAGAGAGTAAGCCAGCTCTTCTTCCCTATGCCAGCCAAGTTCCTCGTCCATAAACGAAGAGCAAGTTGGTTATTTGCATGACCCGTTGGCAGACACTCCCCGGGTATATGTACGTCGTGTTCTGCGGACTGGTCGCCATATCGGTGGTCTGCGCGTTTGCATTCGTCACGGGGTCGTTTTTCGCGAAGGAGGAGGTAAGCAGGATCTGCGCAAGTGTCAGCGATCTGTCGTGGCCAAAAATACGACATGCCGTATACCAACCATTGCTGCGCTTTTGTGCACTCTGTCGCCGATCTCATCGTTTGTGTCTTTGCCAGCTTCGAGCGTTGTGTGAAGCTTGACGGTGGCCAAGTCAGTGCCGGCGCTGCGGTCGCTCTCAGGAAGTCAGGCTCGATCGATGCTGGCGTGAGGTGACGCCGTTGTTAGCGTAGCTGTCGATGACCAGGGTGAGGGCGTCGATCTCCTGGCGCCAGCTAGGCTGCTGTTCGCTCGCATCGGCGTCGTGGCTGATTGGCGAAGTCGTCACGGAAACGAGAAGTTCGTGGTGGAGGCCCATCGGATGTATGCGCTGCAGGGGGAGTCACCTCAAGTCGCGGTGGACAAAGTTGTTGCCGCGCCGGTAGGCTAGAGCACTGAAGAGGCCGCCTGTGGAAGGCACCACGTGTGACGTGGACCTGTGCTCGACCGCGAGGTTGCAGGAGATGTGAGAAAGTCGACAGCGGCTCCGAGATTAGGCGGCGGGGAAGTTCGCTGTTGTTGTCGTACATGTCCGTTGTGGCAATGACGCGCTTCCTGGACGTGCTAGGAAACGATGGCCACATGTGCGGCGTGGTGAAGGGGAAATGATGTCCCGAAAACGAGTATTGGACCGCGTGAGGATATACAGCTCGGTGCTGATGCCGTTGGTAGATAAACTGTGGTACGTGTTGCAAGTGCCGACGCAAACACTACCTTGCCGAAGAGAACATCGAAGTCAGCAACGAGAATTGGGAAGAAGTCGCGGCCGTGGGCGCGACGGGCGCAGGAGTCGCGCAGGATTCGGTGGCAGGACATGTAGGCAGCATGTCGTGCACGTCGTGATGGCTTGACGGTTCTGGGGCGCTCGATCGTTTTAGGGCGTAGCGTCGCAGCTCCACCCCGCTCGAGTAGAACCCCACACCTTCACCACAGCACATGTAACCATCAGCACTCTTGCCATCTCGCGCGCATCCAACTCTGCAAGAAGCTCACGCCTTGGGCATTCAGCTGAATTGTCATCCCCTTTGTTCACTAGTTCCGCGACGCAAATGTCGACGCTGTGTATCATGGGCTGTTCAGGTCTTTCACCATGGGATTCTCTGGATACTGTTTGCCTTCCTATAGAGGCTCCATGTACCTCTTCTGGAGGTCTATCATTTGCTATGCCTTTGGCGCTTGCCTTGCTCACCTTCACTTGCTAACGCGCTCGCATAAGATCATGTATGCGATATGTCGCGTGCTGTACCGTGCGATTGCCAATCATACACATGATTGTCCCAGACAATCGTGTTAATATACTACATGATCAGTCACCAGCGATTTATCGCCGTAACTTTCTAGCTGAGATACTGCCCGCCAACACCCGCTTTCCCCAGCGGATCGCAGACGTGAACCAAGATCTCCTGCAAGAGTCAAACGGTGGCCATGGCGGACTGCCCCAGCTCAGGCAACATTCAACCGACTATGCGCAGCCCGTGTCGCCATGCAGAAGACCTATCCGAGGCCGAACTGAGCGAGTACGGGACGGCCATGATGCGAGCGGCACGCGAGAGTTGCTGCCACTCGATTCATCTTTTAGTCGAGGGTGCGGATCGCGCCAACACCCCTACCAGCGACGATCACACGCATAGTGATTTTATCGACGGTGAGGCGAGGCCAACAGCATCTGCGCCCAGTATTTGTCACCTTGGCTGTAGGAACGAAAGTCGCATTGGCAACCCTGAGCCTCAACATTGCGTCAGCCGTGAAGATCTCCCGACAACGACGCACATCAGACCCCATCCAATGACTGATGGTACGGAACCATGG